GAACACTGAGACTCAAAACACTGCAGACTACAGGCATGAGAGACCACTTTTTCATCCTGCCTGCCCTGTACTGAGCATAAAGAGGGAGCCCATGCAACACAGGATGATGATGATGATGATGATGATGATGATATTTCTTACCAGCCTCTCCCCCATGGATTGAGATGGGGAAAACAACAGTATACATGCCACGTCAGTTAAAACACATCAGTTAAAATACACATGAATTTAAAAAGACATGCATACAATATAAAAGGACACAATATACACATATTTTTTTAAATCCACATTTAAAAGACATCATTTAAAATGCATGATTTTAAAAATCTTCTGGGTGGTTTCAGGATGGTTCTAGAACTCAAGGCAAAGTCAGACAACCAGGTTGCAGGTCAAGCTAGAGTAATAGCACCTTGAACATTTCTAAGCAGACAATGTATTCCAAGGAATTTTGGAGCTCAAAGCGGTATCATTTTTGTGTAATCATTGAGACAAATTGTCCAAACTGAGGAGCCTGGAAAAGATACGAAGAGGACTTTCTTTCTCCCATATCTCTAGGAGATATTAGAAGATCAGGTCTGCTGAATCAAGGAACCAATTTATTTAGTAAAAGAAGTGCATTTCTGCTTCTGACACTGAAAGACCAGAATTTGAAAAGAATAAGAACCCTAAGTCACAAGCTCATATGATCTAATATAGTTTGTGTAATCTGACTACAGGCATCTCCACCTATTTGACAGGTAAGGGACCAGAACACTGTCAAAAGGCAGAAATAATTGAAATGCGGACCATAAAGTGCTCTGGTCCTTTGTTGAATAAGTGAGGAATCAAAAGAAAAAGGTCAAATCTCCCCCAGAAAAGAAGGGAATTCTTGACACACACAGCAAGAGAAATCTCTTTCTTGAACCCAGGAGGTGTTATTGTCCTCTCTCCATTACCCCTGCATGCTCCCCTATGGTACACTAGTGATGTGCTAGCCGGGCAGGGGGGAATACTGCTCCAGCTCCACTCATTCTGTGTGTATATAAGCACACCTCCGTTGGTCCCATCAGCCTCCTGTATGTAGTTTGTTGCCACATAAACAGGTGCTAGCTGTTCACAGAAGACAGGCCTACCAAACTTGAAAATAGGAAGGATAACATCATGTAAAGAGAGAACAGAAAGAGGTTTTCCATGATGCAATGGAATGACAATATGTAGATCAACAAGTCAATGCACAATACAAAGATCAATCAATCCAGAGAACCTTGAATAAAACATTAGAAAAAGACTGACTTAAACATCTTGGAACATAATAGAAGAGATGATAAACCCTTACACAAAAATAAAAATAACCTACTTACAAGACTAAATAGATTTCTATTTCACAAAGGCAAGGTGGGATTGTCCACAAATAATCATAGAACGGTTAGAAGCCATACCTCCCACTTTTGGTAGTCAGAAGTCCCAGTTTTCACCAAGATCTGTCTCAGCCCCTTTCTCCTCTCTCACCAGGACAATCTTCCTTCAAGGCCAGCAAACACACAGGGGTGTGTGTGTGTGTGTGTGTGTCTTCCAATCCAATCTTCCTTTCAGCACTATCTGCAAGGCAGATGCCTCCATCAGGCTCCAGGTTCAGGATGAGACATATGGAGATGGTGAATCCTTTTATGAAAGTCAACATCATGCTCCATGCCTCCCTTAATACATCTATGGCTACTGTCTCTGTTCCTAAAACAAAATTAGACTTGGTCTAATCCAGAAAGGCAGTATTTACACTTGTGAATCTATTGGTAGCACAATTTTGCACATACAATGTGTATCCACTGGGGTTTAGTTCCAGGATCCCCCTGTGGATACCAAAATCTGGGGATGTTCATGTTCCATTAAATACAATGGCATCGTAAAATGGTGTCCCTTATATAAAATGGCAAAATCAAG